GCAGGCCTACGGCTAGAAAGCAGCTTCAAAAGTCACAATTAAATTTCCCATTTTGCCATGTTTCTTATGTTACCATGCTCACTGACTCTAGAAAAGGGACTGAGTTACACTGAAAAATGGGAAGGCTGTAGATACTCCAGGAGCTTTGCAGCTGTAACAGCAGCACTGATGGATAGCTGGGCTCTCGAAAAGAAAGCACTCCCCAAATGAGCAATGACTCGAGGGAAAGCTGGTCTTAAATTTTAATTTATGTCTTAGCTGTGAACCACCCACCTCTGAGTAAAAGAACAGTGAGTGATTATAACTACCCTTTAGCTGCATTTTTTTTATGTTAAAGAACTTCATGAAGAAAATACTATTAAAATATGTTGAGTAAGCTGATGCAACAACCCCTTCTGGAAGTACAGTGCATTACAGATGCACAGTCCGACTTCTATTAGCTTGCTACTAGCACAGATTAGGTGCCTCGGTAATACTGGTGACATTTGGACTACTTATTATGTCTTCATGTATGGTAAAGAAAAGATCTTTTCCTTACCAAAGCAAAGACTGTTTACAATGAACAATGACCTGCATGAGACAAATGTATAGCAACTTACAAATTACTCAAAACATTTAATCGTTTTAGGTAGAATAAGCACCATTCCAATTGTGCTTTTTAAAATCATGACTTACACATGATGGTATTCAATGTGTACCTGAGCATTAGGGATGATCCAGTATTTGATTTAAGAGCAACTGAACCATCTAGTCAGCTGATTTAGCCCCAGAAAACTATTTGGAAAGAAGTGGTACTTCTGCCTTGTTCCCTAATGTTCCTTCTTAAAAGCAACTTCCAAGTATGAGATTGTATATACAAACTTATATAACAGTTTTTCTCAAAGTGAATCTCATTACAAGAACCTGTATGTTTGTATCTGCCCAATATTTAAATGCTGATATACTTGATGCTTTTGTGAAAACAAATGTTTGTAAATAAAATTAAAACTGTAACAAAAAAACCCTATGTATGTGATACTTTGTAATAACTGTGGCTTAATCTGACTTACATTGCAGAAAAAGTTTTAAGTAGCTAGCTCAAAATGTATAAATGTAAGCCTAACTTGAAATCATGGAAGTTGTGACATAATTTATTCTGTAACACAGTTATTATACACCAATTCTGATCTCTTAAGCATGAATACACCTACATAAAAAGAGAGGGTATAAATGTACATGAAAAATCTCACCTACTTTTGTTCCTTATAAGACATGTCATTTCATTATTGTTGCAGATTGCCAGCTCTTAAGATACTATTGAGACTCCTATGATATTTGGTGTTGGTTTTAGATTACCAGAGGAATGTGCTAGGATGAAAACTCTCCATTACCTTCTTTTTGCTTCTGCTCAGCGAGGCAAGTCCTACTCTGCACACTCCTAACACAGCCATGAAGTCACCAACGGGGTTGTGCTAGGGATAAGGTGGCCCACTGGGCAGGGTCTGCCCCACCAGATGCCAACACTGGAGCCCATCACGAGATGCTACGACATGTGAGCGTGGTGAGAACAAAAGGCAAGGAACTGAAACATATCAGCAGGCAAATTCAAAGGCAGGCAATTCAAGGACATTTTTTTGTTAATTTTTGCAGTGAACCTAACTAAGATGGTAACCAAATTAGAGAATGATGGAGGGATTATTCCCTTACTTTTTAATGTCAGCCCACATATACATCCTTTTTTGACTCCCTCTCCCTTTGCGACCTCTTCTCAGCTTGCAGACTTGGGTAGCCGAGGTGACTAACTAGGAGGCTGAGCTTTGCCAATGCCAGCTGGTGTAAACTGCCCTGTTTTCTCATCAGCATGGCTGCAGCTGCTGCGGGGAAAAACAGCCTTTAAAGCTATTCTCCTCCCCCAAATGAACCATGTGAATAACCAACTGGCCAAAAGCCTAACAGATACCTCCTCCTCACCACTCACTACAGTGTGCAAACTGCAATACAGGATTTTTATACATTCAGAGTTCATGACTCTTACTTATGTCAACAGCTCTGACTTTCTCTTGGACATCTAAGAACAACTGTTGAACTGCTGGCACCAAGGTTTATAAATACCAGCGGCAGCTGGTATTCAGTAAATAAGTACTGAATTAAGAGTAATTACTAGCCTAACAAACATCAAACTGGAAAGAATGAAGAGATGCAGGCAAGAGATAACTTAGCAAATGAGATGAAAAAGGTGGAGGACAATGGAATGCAATTGGCAAGCAAGGTGGAGGAAAGCCCACGAAACAGTCCAATGCATTTCAGCCTCACTTTGTGCTGTACCTTGCTCTGATGACCAAGTTCTTCCTTGAACTTAAGACTGCCCATCCAGAAGGGACCCAGCTGGGTCACTCAATCAAGTCCTCCCTATCACAGGTGGACACATTTAATTAATAAAATGAGCTGGTTTTCTTGCCCTTGCTACTCCTTTTGAAAGGCAAGATTTGTCTAACAGAGCTATCCAGTGGTTTTGTGAAGTGTGAATGAGGCTCAGGTGAGACAAGCAAAAAGAAACGAGTCAGAGACTGCTTTTGTGGGACAAAGGTGTAATTGAAAAAGCCACAGAAGCAAGCTGTTAGCACTCCATGCTGAAAATACTGGCAAGCCAGGGAAGTTATTTAAGAACGTCTGCAAGTGCTGAAGGCTGCAAGCGGCCATGTTGCTTTCCATCCTTGTTAGCCTCAAGAAACAATGATCCTTTTTGCTAAAGAATGCACAGAAAATTGCTCTTGATGCATGTACACATATGCAATCACTTCTCAATGCCCCCTTTGCCAAACTGTACCAAAAAGGAGTTTCCCTTTGGGTGGTATGAGCAAATTCATTCTGCACTTGTTTTAAGGTAAGATGTGCAAATGGGTCTCACGTCAAACACATACCAGCCTGTAAATCCTCCAGAACTTGGTCTACCATTATTAATATTGTATCTGCCAACTGTCAGTCGCCAGTAGGAAAAAATCTGATCTGGATCAGATATAAGCTTGCTTCTATTTCTATCAAACTAAACAGTTTCTTGGCTTTAAAATTTATGCTGGCTGTGGGGGCCAGACAACACCTGATCCTGTTTCTCAGGACAAAATTGCCCCTTCTACAATGCTGGAACAGATTTAAACTTGCATAGCAACTTTCTAATGAGCACTGATTGAATTTGTGCTTTCAGGCACATGGCTGTGTCATTTTTGACATGGTGCAGGATTAGCCACGTCACGGAAGCAAAATCTCCAGGAAGAATCCAGCCTGCTGCCTGCTAAAGGCAGATGAACCCCCTGGGACAGGTCGCAGCCTCCACCTTCCCAGTGAATAACCTGAGCACAGGACCATGCCATCAGGGTATTCTTCTCCTTCTTCACTCTCCAAACTTGTGCTCTTGTTTGCATTGGGGCATCTCTTGGGAAGGCGGGACTGCAGACTTAAATCTCTCCAGGCTGGCGAGAGCCCATCACACCGCTCCTCACTTCTCACACGACTGCTAGTGTCACCAGGCTGTTGGGTAAACACTATCTGCTGTCTGTCATATGCGGGCTCCACCTGAGTATGTCCTAATCGCTTTGCTTCTTTCCAGTGATTACTTAGGGATATGTAGCTCAAGTGCTCTGATCTGGTTGGGCAAGGCCAAGCGCCGCCAAAAATCCTACAGCTGGATGCCTGTACCAGGTGGCCTGAATCTGGGC